AATTCCTCGTATGTGTAAACATACCTGGCAATAAAGCTCATTCTGATTCATAAAGCTCATTCTGATTTATTCTTTGTCCTTCATCAGATAAGGACATTAACAATAAAAAAAGAAAGATCATTAAAGATATAAAAAATGAACCAGGCGGGCTTGTTATCAACATGACGGATTCATCGAGCAGTAAATCCGATTTTTCAGCTCTTGTTTTATCGGCTGACTGTGAATCGCAGAGGTCAGCGGCCTATAGAAAAGGTCAAGGTCATTATGATGATTTATAAAAGACAAACTATGCAGAAGGTCCAGGGCGGAGTAATTATGTGCGCTAGTTTTTCTTTATTCAGAAATGTGAGGTTATGCGCTTCCCTCACGATGCCACATTAGTCAGTGAAGTCAGAGAGGCTCTGAATGGGTCAATTTATTCTTATTACGTGCTGTTTGTTCTAGAGCTGCTCGAGCACATTTGGTATTCATATTCAAAGAGCTTGAAGAGACTCGCAAGAGCAGATTCAGAAGCGTGCCTCATTTCACACAGAAACAAACAGATGAAAAGGACTGCTCTAGGAAGCATTCATTGGAAAGTCTTTCGGTTAACACTGCATCCAAATGATCTGATTATTACAAACCTGTCAAGAACATGGACCACATTTCAAGCAATCAGTGTCATTTTACTATTATATTACTATATTTACTATTACTATTATAGTATTTATTCATATTTTGAATAAGCTTTTGTTTTTAAAGTTTAGTAAATATTCTTGTCATTTTTAATACGTTCTGCTTTTTTAAATATCTCTTGAAGTTTTATTTTAGTTTGAATAACTTTAGCACCTTAACTTGCTTTATTTCAGTTAATGGGCAATGCAATATAATTCTAATGCTTTTTTAATTTATTTTTTTACTTTTTTAATTACAAAAATATTTGTTATTGTTTTTGTTGTAGTTAAAGCACTGCATGGAAAAAATGATATTTGTTGACACTTTCTTAAAAATGTAATGTATTTCTGTGATGTGCAGCTGAATTTTCAGCATCATTCCTCCAGTCTTCAGTGTCACATGATCTTCAGAAATCATTCTAATATGCTGATTTGCTGCTCAAGAAACATTTCTGATTATTATCAGTGTTGAAAACAGTTGTGCTGCTTAATTTTTTTGTAGAAAGTGACTTTTTTCAGGAATGTTTGATGAATAGAAAGACAAAAAACAGCATTTATTTGCAATAGAAATCTTTTGTAATATTATAAATGCCTTTACTCTCAGTTTTGATCAATTTAATGCATTTGAAAATGTATGTATAAACAGTAGAAAGAAAGAATGAAAGAAAGCAATAAAGGTGAAATATCTGCAGATATATTGCTCTAGCAGTAGTCTGGATGGTGTGTGTTTACCCGTCTGATCCCGGTCTGGAGGGAGAGTTGTCTGATGATATGGAGGTCACAGACGCGACAGACAGCGGCCTCTGAGACGACGGCATGGTGAAGGAGCGAACCATTGAACGCGGCCGACTGCCCCGCCACTCGTCCGACACGGGAGGCTGAAACAACATCATGAGTCAGTTCTTTAAAAAACTTTCTTGCACCAAAATAGTTATGATTCATTTTTATGACCATTTTCCCCTCTCCCTGACACTAAATGACATCCATTGCGATTGGCTAACCAAGCTAAGAGAATACTTTTTGTGCGCAAAGAAAACAAAAATAACGGCTTTATTCAACAATTTGTCTCCTCCGCATCACCCTGGAAACGTATGCAACGTATGTACGCGGATACGTTGTTCACGTTCAGATCAAAGCGTAAACACGCTTGCCAGGGTGATGCGGAGGAGACGAATTGTTGAATGAAGTAATTATTTGTTTTCTTTGCACACAAAAAGCTTCGTAAAATTACGGTTGAAACACTGATGTCACATGGATTATTTTAACGATGTCCTTGCTACGTTTCTGAGCCTTGATCGTGTAAGGATCCTTGCTGTCTATGGGAGGTTCAGAGAGCTCTCGGAATTCCTCAAAGATATCTTTATTTGTGTTCTGAAGATGTCTTACGGGTTTGGAACGACACGAGGGTGAGTAATTAATGACAGACTTTTCATTTTTGGGTGAACTAACCCTTTAAGAGTTCAGACCACACACCGCCTCGACAGACAGCCATATAAACAGGCCAAGTGCGAGTACGCTTTAGCTGATTGCTTTAATACAGTCTTTGCCTCTTTCTGTGTGAATCTCGTATATGTGTGATTATGAACCGCTCATACCTTCCTTAGCATCCTCCTGTCCTGCGCTGTCCTTGAAACAGATATATGTAGCACAGATCATATTCTCAGTCTTTCACACACTGTATTGAAAGCTTCGCTGCTAATTCTAGCACCTTGGCAGAGCGCGGCGATCAATAACTGCCAGCTACAGCAACTATCTCTCTCTCTCGCATGCGTTCGCTCTTTCTCTCTCCCTGTCTGCCATACTCTTTTGTCCCCGTCTCTCATTCCCTCCTAAGGACTCCCAGCATTCTTCTGTCAGGGCTCTCAGCATGTCTGTTCGGACCGGAGAAGAGGCGCGATTCCTTACAGTGTGTTTGGGAATGTCTTTGTCACACATTCACTCAGTGTGTCTCCAAATACAGCTGTGGAAACTTTTGCTCTACTTTTCTACTTACATTTATGCAAGTTAAGGTTTTCCACACCAAATACAATAAAAATGAAGGGGAAAAAAGTGAAAAAAGTGTGTGTGGGTGTGTGTGTATAACATAACATGAAATGCTGTGAAAAAATATGATCTGCATTTTTATGTCTAGTATATCAAACCTGATTTCCAAAAAGCAAAGATATATTATCATTAAAAAACAAATTTAATATATCAATTATTATTCAACAGTAGCATTAATACAATTACAAATCGTATTTATTTCTGCTACACACATGCTTTTCTATACCAGCAGGATGTGAATATGGATAATATTCTGTAAAAGGAAGAAGGTAAGATGTCTTAAACTGTATATGGGTAATTATACAACTGCAAAAGCATTTTAGTCTAAAGGTTTTAGAAAATGAGACTCATCAATCATATATTAAGTAGCTTATCTTCTTTTTCATTTCATACAAGGTATAATATAATAATAATAATAGGGAGTTTTTTAAAGTAAATTAAATGTAGCATTGACTGGCATCTTTTGTCAGTGACGTTAGACCTAATTAAAAGGTAATGAGTCTCAATAACAGCATTGATGAATTACATGATTAAGTTGGTGGCAGGTGTTACAAAGAATTACCAGGCTTATATGAAAGACAATCTTGATGATAAACCTATCATCATTTGATTAACAACATAATAGCATTGATTAAAAAAATAATTTAAATTAAACATAAATATATAAAATGTGTGTGCAGACAGACATTTTCTTAGGAAAATAACCATTTGAAAGATTTCTATGGAAGCCTGTTTCCACCATGTAATCAAAAAAGGTAATTGTGACTTTTTATTTAGCAATTCTGGGTTTTTCATACATTTCCAAGTATATATCTCACAATCTGGACTTTCTGATTTAGAAATTGCAATTCTGAAAATACAAGTCTGAAGAATTGTGAGGTATAAACAAGAAAATTGCAAAAAGAAAGAAAGAAAAGAAAAAAATGTTTTTTATTCCAACCATAGATTTCCTACAGTATGTATTTTCCAAAATGGTGTCACTTTTTCATGTGAATTAATGATTATGGAATTAATTTTGAACACAAAGTTGTTAAATTCTGTTTTACAACAAAATTGCTAAAAGTACTTATTATTACATGCATATTTTAATGTGTTGGGGACGAACAGAAAGTATTCAGCCTGAGTTACTGTTAGGATTTTGATAGTAACCTTGTAAAATTAGCCAGACTTACAGCTCTATTAAAGCAGTAACAGCATTTAAAACTGCAATTATACAATGCCTCATAATCATCTATCAGCTGCCATGACTTCATTCAGTACAAAATTTCTATAGTTGCTTTTCACAATAGGTATAATATAATAATAATAATAGGGAGTTTTTTAAAGTAAATTAAATGTAGCATTGACTGGCATCTTTTGTCAGTGACGTTAGACCTAATTAAAAGGTAATGAGTCTCAATAACAGCATTGATGAATTACATGATTAAGTTGGTGGCAGGTGTTACAAAGAATTACCAGGCTTATATGAAAGACAATCTTGATGATAAACCTATCATCATTTGATTAACAACATAATAGCATTGATTAAAAAAATAATTTAAATTAAACATAAATATATAAAATGTGTGTGCAGACAGACATTTTCTTAGGAAAATAACCATTTGAAAGATTTCTATGGAAGCCTGTTTCCACCATGTAATCAAAAAAGGTAATTGTGACTTTTTATTTAGCAATTCTGGGTTTTTCATACATTTCCAAGTATATATCTCACAATTTGGACTTTCTGATTTAGAAATTGCAATTCTGAAAATACAAGTCTGAAGAATTGTGAGGTATAAACTCAGAAAGAAAGAAAAGAAAAAAATGTTTTTTATTCCAACCATAGATTTCCTACAGTATGTATTTTCCAAAATGGTGTCACTTTTTCATGTGAATTAATGATTATGGAATTAATTTTGAACACAAAGTTGTTAAATTCTGTTTTACAACAAAATTGCTAAAAGTACTTATTATTACATGCATATTTTAATGTGTTGGGGACGAACAGAAAGTATTCAGCCTGAGTTACTGTTAGGATTTTGATAGTAACCTTGTAAAATTAGCCAGACTTACAGCTCTATTAAAGCAGTAACAGCATTTAAAACTGCAATTATACAATGCCTCATAATCATCTATCAGCTGCCATGACTTCATTCAGTACAAAATTTCTATAGTTGCTTTTCACAATACATATTCTAAAGCAGCTTATCTTTATAAAGCAGCATAGTAAAATAATAATGCCCAGTGAGCAAATCAAAATAGCGTCCCAAGATAGTGAGGAAGAAACCAAGACCCAGACAAATGCAGACAAACATGCAACACATCAATCAGACACAGAACGTGTTTGTTTGTATTGTGAGGTAAGAGTCCATCCTGAGGTCATGTGATGCATGCAAGCGAGCTGTGATGAAGAACATCCATGAATGCGTGAAGGCTGATGTTACGGCGGAGTGAATGATGAAGGCGTGATGCAGCATGATTTGGAAAGTGACTGTCTGTTGGGACTCACTAGTGTTCTGACGCCGTACTGCTTCTCCACCTTCTCTTTCAGCTGTTTGAAACACACCTCCAAACGCTCGTGAAACGGACGAAGAGCCTCCGTCACCTTCTCGCCGTGGATGCGAACTCCTTCAGCCAGGTTCGGGATCTGAATGAGATGCACACACAAACAAAAGCAAAGCAATTAAACCACAATCTTAAATAAAATTTAAAGTGCCCCTATTATGGATTTTTGAAAATGACCTTTCATGCAGTGTGTAACACAGATCTAAGTGAATGAAAACATCCTGCCAAGTTTTAAATCTGAAAGTGCACCGTGTATAAAGTTACTGTCTCTCAAAAGAAAGTGTTGACTCTGATTCATTGAAACGAGTCGTTTTTAAAACGAATCCCAAGCCGTTTCATGTTGAAGTCAACATGAAACATTAGCATATTGCCCGCCCACTTGTTGGACTTTTCCCGTTGGTCTGAATGAAAATGCTAATTCATTCTTTGCCACTAGGTGCCGCTTTTGGAGTGGTAAAATAGCTGTTTCCCCGGTAACGCTGTACACAAAACAGCACTGCGCTCACAAACGCTGCTTTATCAGGCATTACAGACAAGATGAAATGAAAATGAGAGCAATCGGACCAATCACCGCAGATTAGCATCACGCAAAGGAAGGGTTTGGAAAAATGAATCGTTAAACGAAACGTTTGGGAGTCGTTGAGCAAGTAAGGTAAAAATAAATGCATAATATAAGACAATGAGGTGTTTTTTGACCTTGCATGCATGTCAACCTGTTGTTGAGGACTCCCAAAACCAAAACATGAACCTTTCATAACCCATAATAGGGGCACTTTAAGAAAAAAACGACTAAGCATTCACACAGACAGGAATCGTTATAAAAGACACACTCAACAAATGGCATCAAACAAATGTTTATCTAAACCCAATACCATAAATGCTATTTAAAATAAATAACTTTAAAATTCAAATCAAATTTTCACATTTTCAAATGTATTTTCCTCCATTTTCTATTGCTGTATTAACAAATATACCCATTTTTGTTACAAAACAATACAGAAAAATAAACGCTTGCAGTCAATTATGTATTTATTCAAGGAGTACATTTATACATTTTGTCATAGATTTAGTCTATACGGTAAAATAAAATAACATCACGGAAACATCACTAACGATCATAAACTAACATTAACATTAAATTAACCTAGATAAATACATAGTGTAAATAGCTGTTGTTCTTTGTTAGTTTATGATAATCCAATGTTAACTAATTAAACAAAATACAAACAAAATGACTGAACATTAATCCCAAAAATCAACCTACATGAACATGTGAGGGAAAAATAAAGCATTTTTGTCTCTTTAACATGCAAATACAATCATTTTTTAACCCAATACCAAAAATATACTTTTATGTAATATACTTATTACTTTATGTAACAACTTTGACTTTATTTGTTTTTTTCTCTCTAACCTCTATTGCTGTTTTGACAGACAATTTTTGAAATTTTTTGGGGTTACAAAGCAATATATAAAGCACATTTGTATAGTATATTATGTCTTTACTCGATACATAAATGCATTTTTTTATTTTGTCATATAGTTTAAGTCTTTGCAGTAAAACTAAATATACAAATAAATATAAAAAGATTAAAATTCATATAAATAAAAATAAATGGAAAAATGACATGCAAAATGACATCATAAAGAACAACTGTATATTAATAAATTACATTACCATTGCATTAACCAAGATAAATAAATATTTTAAATAAAATGAAATCAAATCACTAAGCATTCACCCCAAATGTCAACCTCACTAATAAACTAGATTTGTACTGTCTGGCCCACGCTGTCAGAGTGAGACGTAACCTGCAGCTCTTCTGGACTGATTTACTCAAGCCTCTCGGTAGCCCGTGATTCACCTCGGCCTGAAATATCACTCTGAGGTTCAATTTTCTCTCTTCTACATAAAACCTCTGGCCTGACAGACACATAAAACAGGCAAACAGCCACTAAAGCTTTATTTGCAAGCTACAGTGAAAGACGGATCATATTACACAGGATTTAAAACAAACCTTTGTGCACAAGCATTCATCGCACGAAGCACTGCGTTCTCTCTCAAATATGACTCCTGCTAATCTGAATGTACAGAACAAAGCATAATACATCAGAAGGATACAGTAGTGCTGAACACACACACACACACACACACACACACACACAATCTGAACTGCTCAGCTAATTGCAAAGAGAGGTGCTGCTGTCTCCAGACATTATGAGAGTAAATCAGAGTGCTATAAAGATGAGGTATTTCTGAACCAAATAAACTCCAACAAGCTTCACGTTCAACTGATGCAATGCTGCGCAATGCGATGCGATGGAGAGGAGCACATTCTCATGTTCACGTCAAAATGGTCATCAGCCATGAAAGTAAAGACATCAAGCTTCTCTTCAGAATTTTTAAACAACCTCTCAAAAGAAAAGATAACAAAGATCATACTTTTGTTTTATCTCTGAAAGAACAGAAGCACTTTGTAACAATTTTCTACCTCAGTGTGTTTGTCTTGTTTTCCAGTACAAATATGTCCACGACACATAGACTTGAGATGAGCAAAATTACACAAGTCTAGATTTCTGTCAAATTGATCAAGTGAAAATCAAATCAATGTGCCAATGAAGTAAAAACTTAATTTAAATGGAAAACTTTTTTTTTCTGACCCAAACAGAATATAGGCATATTTGTTTGCATCTCAAGTAAATATATCTATTTCAATATTTGTTTAAATGTGTTTAAATATCTTAATGTTTAATTATTATTATTATTATTTTAATATAAAATGTATATTTATATAAATTTAAGTATCTGTAAAGTTACAATTTTAAAGTACTTACAGTAATTTGAAATGCATGAATATTTGTTTAAATATTTAAAATTTTTAAATGCTTGTTTTACAATTTAAAATGTGTTCATATTTTTTATCTTTAATAATGTTTGTGCTTGCTCGACACATGTGAAGAGTTTAATTAACATGATTACGTTCACAAACAAATGTACATAAGGATAATTTATGCTAAATATTTCTATAGCTCCCTGATTAAACACACAATACACCGTAGCACGATTTTTCCAACTCGAGCACTGAATTCTACATAATACAGAAGCGATGCGGAGTGTGTTCAGATCCTCCTGCAGTTCAACAGTCGTGAGAGGATTCCTGCTTTAATACGGGTTGTTAGGGAATTTCTGAAGGAGACAGAGATACAGACCGATAGAACGGCGCTGCTCGTGTCTCCAGGGAAACCCAGACCTTTAAAACATGATCAGAGTGAGGGAATTCTGGGTAGGCAGGAGAGCGGCAAAAACGCTATAAAAGCAGGCTGCCAAATCACACAAACACAACTACACATACACCTCATCAGCGAACTCTGGCTGAAAATATAACTGATGAGCACCTATGGACACGGAATGAAGAATTGAAGAACATCAATGCTTTCCTTCAGTTTGAATATCTTCCTGTTATAAATGGTAGAACATGTGGTACAAACACCCAAGGTCATGAGTATGATGAAGTTTCTAGTAATCCTGCTGAGGTTATCCAGGTGAGCTTGATTAGATTTTGGAGCTCAACTCAACAACACACTGGTCCTCCGGAAGTGGGTTTGGACAGAAAACACATAAACGTACATAAATGTTATTCTAAACCTGAGAGTCCTCCCTGCTAATGCATTGCTAAGTGTATACTTTATCCAAAAATGAACTTTTTCTCATCATTTACTCACCCTTGTGTGACTTCAAAATGGTATGACTTTCTTTATTCTTTATACTCTAAGTATAAATAAGATATTTTGAGAAATGTCTATGTATTGTTGTGTACACACTATGGAAGTCAATGGGCTCCAATGTTGTTTGCAGTATTATTGAGAAACTATTATAGTTTTTATTATTTGAATAGTAATAATATTATATACTATTGTTTTAATTTATTTTATATATTTTTTATTTAATTTTTGAATCCGTTATCTTTATATTTTATGTTTTTATTTAAATTTTAGTTACATGTTTAGTAATTTAGTTTCTGTAATTTTTCATTTATTTTAATTTCTGAATTTAGTTTTAGTTATTTTAGTGCATCTTGTATGTAGCTGAAATAAAAAAATATACATTTTGTATTTTAGTTCAAGTAACAAATACATATTTTAGTTCAAGTAATTTTTTTTTTCTTTTAGTTTTAGTCAAATATAAGAACCCTGGTTGTTTGGTTCCCAACATGCTTTAGAATATTTTCTATGTTCTGCTGAATAAAAAAATAAATATATATTTTTTCATAGAAACAAATACAGCAAAATAAAAGGCTGTAGTCTATTATGTCTTTATTCTCTTTCAAATAAAATAAAATAAATAAATAAACTAGTCATTAATCACGAAGAAATTGTCCGCAACTCTCATTATGGTTATTGTGTACCATTCTACAAAGGCAAAAATATATTTACAAATATGCAAAAGTTAAAAATTTAAACTAGAGCACTTGTGCACTTATGAGTGAAGTGACATCTGAGATCGTCTGAGTTCAAGTACAAGTCTAAATTCTTGTGATCTGCCCTAAAACTAAGTATCACATAGAGGCTCTGAAAGTGAGTGTGCCGTGCCGTGCCGTGACGTTTCTGCATCATTTATGACAATGCAAGCTGGCAGAGAGACATGCATGATTTGATTTTTCACATGCATCACACAGTCCATCAACACAGCGCTGGATGAATTGCTTCTCGTTAACACACAATAAACTCACCAGATCCTCATGCCACGTTACCAGCTGAAGCCCCTGCTCTTGCCTGAGTGAAGTGCTTTTCTCAGTGCGAAAGATGCAGGCTAACATGAATGAAGCGGAGCAAAAAAAAGCAGCTAACTTCTGTGAATAACAGCTGAGAGAGCAGCACATTCACACAGATCAGCCGAGTCCCGTATAAAAGAGACCCAAGCCGCGCTCTGACAACAAACAGAGAAAGCAAACCTAATAAAAAGCTGAAATCTGCAGGGGGATTGTCCTGCCTTTTAAACAGCGGTGGCTGTTTATGCCGTTCTGACAGAGCATCGATAGCAGCCTCTTCTACCTTCAGGACGGGTAGTATTGATCGCCATATCTCACCGAAAAAGTGGCTTTGGGTTCCTTTTGTGCTGTCAAACGCAAACTCTGCACAATTAAAGTGTTCGTCTGTGATTGCATAAACATTACATCATTAATGTTCATCATCTGCTCGTAGAAATCAGCTGAACACTGTCAAATCTATAACAATTGAACTTAAAATGTAAATAATGTGGTGAGACGGCAACAATGCATGTCTGAGAAAACGGTCTATATAAAAGAAAAGACTGAGCTTTTCTGAACTGCGTTTCAAGCCATCTCCACAATTGATTTGTGCGACTCAGCTTGTCGTCGTCTTTGCCGAGGAACACGTCTTTAAAACACATCTGAGGTAAGACAAAGCATGAGACGTATTTCATTCTGTGACAGGATGACAGCTGCTGTAACTCATCTCATGCAAATGTCCTGACCTGACATGAATACGTGAGGAAAAATAAAAAGCTCCAGTCAAAAACAAGATGATTGATACATTTAACAAATGGCATCAAACAGCCTTCACCATGTCAGAAATACATTCGGGTTGTTTTACGAAACAGTCTCGCTTTAGTGTGTAAATAATGACTTTTACAGTGTCATCGCAAGCATTTTTCTAAAAAATGCTTTTTGTTTTTAAACTTATTTTTCTCCAACTTTGTTGCTGCGTGTATTATTTTAGTATCACTGAAATAGTACTGTAGTTTACTAAAGTTTATTAATTGACATTCATATTTTCAATCAGTTTAAAATTTTTCTCATTATAATTTGAGTTACAATCTTAGGAATTCTGCTGTGCATGTTTGCTCTCTTTTGTAGTTTTTTTACATTTATTTTTTATTTCAGTTTTAATTATTTTAGTACATCAAGTTAAACTAAATTAAAATGAGAAATGTTGCAACTAGCTGAAATAAATTTAATTTCAAGTAACACATTTTTTTTTTTTTTTTTTTTGCAATTTTGGTTGGTTTGTAATATTTGGTTGGTAGTTTTGGCAACCACTGTATTTATTGTCTTTGAATATATTTATAAATAAGTATATACACACTGTAATAAAATTAAATACAAAATAAAGGAAACATTGCGTCCCAAGGTTAAGCATTTATAAGTTTTCATTAACACTGAATTCACCTAGATAAATAAATACTGTAAACAGCTGTTGTTTATTTGTAGTTTTTGATCGCTAATGCATTAATTGTTAACAAACTGCACCAAATATATTACCTAATGTTTATTAATTTAGCTTGACATGGCAAACACAATATGCTTGGTCTTGTACAATATTTAAAATCTTCCAGGTTGATCTTTTTGAATGTGAAAGGCACCTAATGACCCATTTGTAATTTGTAGATGACAACTAATCAAAAGCATCAAAATTTGTTGCCATCTCTTTTAAGATGAGACAACCATGAATCTCCACACATTCCTGACATATGGGAAGCTGCAGATCATGTTTATCCAGCAAACACACACACACACACACACACATCAGCAGATGTGTTGAATCTACAGCAGCTTTTCTGTAGCGGAGAGAGTTTGTCAGGCTTGTTTTACATCCCTTGTACAAACTATATAGAGTTCCATCAAAACCTCACATCTGTTCTGCTCCCGGAAAAGCTCATCAGCAGCCGTCTTTCTTTTCATCTGCCTGAAAACACATCGACACACCAGTCTCTCTCTGTCGTTACATTTCTGTCCACGTCCCTGAAGAGAACGAGTCCTTCAATAACCATTACGCAACAGAAGCATTTATGTGCTGAGAGTAACTATATACGACGTGCGGTCGGATCAGACAAACAGGCAGAACGCTCGGACAGCTGCTCAGACTGATAAATATTCATCTCACACACGACAGAGAACAAGTCAAAGTCAAACAGGAGATGCATAAAACTGCTTTTGTAAAATCTGTTCCAACATGTTTTAACCAATGAATTTCCATGACTGCCTTATGATTACTAGAAAAGTTAATAGCCATTATAGACTTTTCCAGCCCTCTGGAACACGCGCAAAAGACCAAAACATCTCTATTAATATGATACAATTCATATGATTTTAGGATTTCTTTTACACCTTGTTAGGGGCCGTCCACACACGCTCAGGAATGTTTTTTTTTAAAGAAAAGCACAGCACTGAACGCGAGGATCTTGAGGCACGCTGCAATACTAATATCAAATAAAACAGTTGCTACTGTAAACAAAAGCATGCAACACTTGCTCCGCCCCTAGGGTCTTCTGATTGGTCCACTGTTTTGGAACGGACAACGATGAGCGCCTTTGCGTGTAAAAGTTGAAATTTTAAAAACGTGCCGCTCGTGGAAGGTGCTGCAAAAGACGCGAGTGCAACAGTCATTCACGTTCGTCTAGTGCATTTACACAAAAAACTATGGAAAAGTAGTGTGTTCTGTGTCCCTTTATCAAAAATGACCCACCTACAAAAACATTGCTTTATTATATTTCAAAATATTGGATTCATTTTTTTTAACAACTTGACTTCTTTCAATTAGCACAGGTTTTGTATTTCTTTTGAAAACAGCTGATTGTAGGCCTCACTGATTTCAGTTAATTGCCAAAATTATCCACAAATAATGCTATTTTCACTCAAAAAGTGAGGTGCATAAGCTCAGATCAATGAGGCCTACAACCAATCACTTTCAGAAACAAATACAAAACCTTTACTAACCGAGAGAAAACAAGTTGACAAAAAGATCAAATCTAAGATTATGTGATAATACAGTATATTGAGAGATTTACAAGCAATTTTTGACCTGGAATGCCTAGTTAAATAAAGGATTTACAGCAAAAAACATCAAAAAAGAGCCATCAGTGAGCGACGTGTTATTGTGCTGTATGACACAGCAGATGTTCTTTTCGGAGAGATAAAAACCTATTTGTTATTGGCATGGGATACATTTCCCACTAAACAGCTATAAATGAAGCTTCATCAGTGCTAAGATCATCTTTAGTAGATCTCTATCTCACACTCATACACAATCTCACAGGCAAGACATCAGGAGGATTTGATGTGTTGCTCTGCCCTGTAACCATCATTAGTATTTTGACTGAGTACAGAGCGATAAAAGCCTTTCGATTTGATGATAAAGTCAGTTTGCAGCACCAAACACGTGCTGCTTCAACCAACATGTGGATGTAAGTCAGTGAATCCCCAGGAGACCTTTCTTTAAATAAAACCTCATACTGGATATTTATACTGCGTGACAGATGCTTTAAGATCTTCTGAAGAACTGTGATCTCACATCGTGCATGCTCATTATGAAAACTTATGAGAGAAGTTATGCACAGAGTTTTATTTCGGAATCAATTCTTTGAGAAAGGACAGCTTAAATTGATTTACAAAACTACATTATATTTACGAAAGATGCTTAACTTTAAATCAAACATGACTTTAAAACATTGAAACGCAATGCTCTCATATTTATGGGAAGTGACGAGGAAGCTGTTGGAAAACTTAATCGGCAATTAATAATAACAATACAAAAAAAATATAGCTTAATTTAATATCATCTGCAAAATCATGGCAAACACCTTATGAATATTCAATATATAACCCAGTACTGCTGTTAAGACATGCACTGATTATATCATTACCTGCCAGGCAATCAGATCCTTTAGTTTTTCAATCTTCTCCTGGTCATTTGCATGTTCCTGGATGTATTTCTCAGTGAAAAACGCCTATAGATGACAAAACAACAACTAAGTTATAAACACCTGTCTGTAAGATTTAAAAGAAAATAAATAATAATACTTTTATTCAGCAAGGATGCATTAAATTGATCAAAAGTGACAGTAAAAACATTTATAATGTTAAAAAAGGTGTCTATTTTGTTCTGTGTTGTTCTTTTGAACTTTCTGTTTAAATGATGTTGAGGTCTTCATCGGTTATAACGGACGAAAAGTCATTTAAAGAATCCTGAAAGAAATGTTTCCACTAAAATATGAAGCAGCACAACTATTTCCAACATTGATGATGATAATACATGTTTTTGAGCAGCAAATCAGCATATTAGAATGATTTCTGAAGATCATGTGACACTGAAGACTGGAGTAATGATGCTGAAAATTCAGCTTTTCATCACAGGAATAAATTACACTTTAAAATATATTCACATAGAAAACAGCTATTTTGAGTTGCAAAAATATTTCACAATTTTGCTGTATTTTTTATCGCATAAATGCAGCCTTGATGAGATGACTTTCATTACATAAAATGGTTAAAATAGTTTTTACATTCAACTTCTCTTGGTTCACTGTGTTTAATCTTTGTGCCGTGACACAATTTGGCAATAATTACCAGAATAATCTCATACCTTCTCATAATTAGTAAAGCCGCCCATGACAGCTGGGTCCACGATGCCGTTGAGGAACATAGAGAGGGGGTTTATGGGAAGGCCGGAGTCGTTTAAGTGGCGCTGGACCATGTTGCTGATTTTCTCATTGGTCAGTTGCATTGTCTCCATAGCGTTTTCCAGCGGACTGATTTCCTCCTGCAGAAAGAAGCAAAAACATATTTATAGGCCAAAAGATAATTTATGAATAAAATAAACAAGCAGGAAATATTTACGCGGCAAAGGATGACTCTTACTTTAACCAGCTGTCTAACATGTTACTGTTACGCAACAACCAAAGTTGCAATCTAACAAACAAACTCCACTAACGAGCAGCGAAGCAACAAGAGCAGGTTTTCAACTGTTTACAGATTAACTAATGAATGGGTTAACATGTTCTCTCCGAATATCTGGGTCCCGTAATGCATCTGTGACAGGATCTGAAATCAATGTGAGAGACAGACGCTCTGATGCGTCTATCTCGGGAAACTCGTGCCAGGGAGGCTAATGAGAACGAGAGCACACGTGAAGCGTCAGAGAAAACAATCGTGGCGAGACGGTGAGAAGGAGAGCTCAAAAGAGACTGTGCAAATTAGAACGGATAAACACCAGGGTATGCAGTCTGGGTATAACATGATGCTAGAGCCACTGCACAGTCAAATAAGCGTGCCAGCACACGTAACCACCATTCTCTCAGCGCAGGACGGATTCAGGACGACATGATCAGAATAGCATGATGGAAAGAGAGAGTTAGACAGGCCAGGTCTGCTATAATGGAGTGTAGTGAGAGTGAGACAGGTCTAAATGTATTGCTTTGTTTTAAATATTAAGCAGTAAAATATACAACTACATATTACTAGGTATGCACACGAACACCACTGATGCTAGTAAACAATGCTCGGCCATGGTTACGTGTGATGTGACTTTTAGCTGAATCAGAAATTCAGTAACAACTCTACATTTTTAATTGTATAATTACGTATTTCATGTGAGCACCGCAGTAAGCTGTGTTCACTCTAGAGGGAGCACAAACAAGACAGCATGCCAATCAACTGCAACAGATCACTCTATCTTGAGACAAGCTCTTTAAAAATATCTGTACAAAGTACAAAATGCATTAAAAATGCAATTTTGAGTGCTGAACTCCTGTAGCGTCAAAAATAGTGCACGTTTAATATTCATGAAAGTATTTTTCATTGAAATGATCAGCAAGTCTTACCAAGAACCGCAATACAATCAGATAACACCAAAGCTTGTCATTTTCTTTTTAAGAAAAAAAACATAAGATGTTCTTAAGAACATATTTGAGAACTTTTGAAGAATTGCACTTAGGAACTTTCTTGTGAGCTTCTTAAAACTTCTTTCTTAAGAAAAAATGCTGAGAATTAGAATATGGTGTTGTATTGTATGTACTATCATTGTAATGGACTGCCATATCATTTTCATTAAACATTCAACAATACAATACAATCTAATAAAAACAAACATTTTATAAAATCCAACTTGGATGAAAAAAGTCAAGCTTTTTTGTACAAACAATTCTGTGAAAGATTCTTGAAATGTACTTGTAAGTTTTTTGGGGTCCATCTTACAAATTCGGCCTTAAATGTGGTTGTCTCATACATTAAAAATTGGGCAGACCAAGAACATATATATATATTTTATTAATGGACAAGTTGGTGCTACAATGCTGAGATTTTGGAGCTTTTTCACCCTTCAATAAATGCCCATGGGTCATTAGAATATGGTGAGAGTAAGACAGGTTAAATATATTGCAGATGAGGGTGAGACGGGTCAAATCAACTGTATCCGAGTTCATTCGAGGTTGCTGATTTTCCTTCAAAGCATCAAGAATCTGTGATATAATGAACCACTGCGGATGCTAAAGCTGTCGTACTCACCGCTGAGACGGACACCACTTCAAACCAGCGCAGGATGCCCGGCAGCTTATAGGCGGTGACGTAAGTCGTCCTCTCAATCCACATGTTCTTTTGGAAGAATGGGAAAAATTGAGCAAAACATTAAGTGAACAGTTAGCAGAATGAAAGCTTTTAGCAAAGGGCCGCATTTCAGGTAAAGAGTGGCCGCAGTTTATTCCTGCATGCTTTTTTTCTTCAATCTAAGCCTCTATTTACTGGATTTTAATGAATGTTTAAGTAAGTAAGTAAGTGGAGGCCGTGGAGGTGGGACAGACTTTATATTTTAGTATAACGGTGCAGTGTTCTCAGGTTCGACATCTCGCTGTAATAACTCAACGTGAAGCCATCTTAAAAGGTTTTTAGACAAACGGCCGTTAGAAAAACATTTTTGAGTTCTTCTAAATGAAGAACTGCAGAGCACTTTACACAAGCGCTGAGTGAAATAACAAAAGGAGAAATGCTTTAGTCATTGAAAAGCAAAAGGAAACTCACAGCGAACTCATTGTCCGGATCTTTCTCTCCTTTCCGGACCGGCCGTGAATACTGGAATTTCTGGACTTCATTCACGGTGTAAAAACTGAAAAATAAAATGTGAATGACTCATTCTCAGAGTGTTTAGTGGTTTTGAGAGGGTTGCATTGGGTCAAGAGGAAGGAGATGCATGAGCATGCTTCTAAAAGCAGCCTGGATGATGATTAAAAACACTGAAACACAGCGGAAAAGAAACAACAATCCCACTTCATCGAGGACGTTCTTTGAAAAGAGGTGTGCTTTTGAATGAATTTTTAACCTGAGTTTACTACCATGACTTGTCAGCATCTTGATCATTCACAGTTTACTGATATTTTGGGCTAATCTGATTTTTAAAAATGCAGATTTGAAAGTCTTCGTATTTTGTTTGTGCCTGTAAGTCTATTCTTTGTAAAGCGTCTGAGAGCTTTGCAGATTTTGGGGCATTTAAAAACTCCCGACTACACAGCTTTTTAGTGCCGCCTGTGAAAGAGCGTATCATTGATTGAACAAATACGCCTGTCACTGAAGGAGAGTCTGAACAAGACGCTGAGTGAGAGATGAACGAGTGTGAATGACTGATGGCTATGCACAGTTAACATGACACCAGTTGTGAGTAGCCTGCTGGAAATGCAGTGCTTTTGTGCACATTGAACAAAACGGATAAGTAATTTTCCCAGCAGTGGAAGTGAAACCTCATAATTAATGAATTTTTGCCAATTGCTGTTGTCTAAAAAAAGAAGCTCAGCATTTGACAAAATGAAGGAAAATAGATATGCTTTATTGTCATTTCTGGAGAAAATGCTTACATGCTTTTGAGTCTGAGTAGATCTGCAGACATTTGAAATATAATAAAAGATAATAAGACTAATTTCAGTGGTGCTTCTGTTGAGAAAATGATTCAGTGGAGCAGCTTACACACTATTTCAGATTTCTGAAAGCACAACTGCATGACAACAATAATTAAACTCACAAACTGTTGAACAGCTACAAAAAGAGTCACTGTATGAATCAATGAATGGATATTTAAAGGGATAGTTGACTCAAGAATGAAAACCCAAGCATTTTACTCACTCTCACGTTGTTCATACTTCTGTGGAACATAAAAGGAGATATTTTAAGTGTTTTCAACCATACAATGGGAGCCAAAACTGGTTGTTTACCAACTTTCGTAATATCTTCTGTGTTCCACAGAAGCAAGCTTTTGGGTGAACTATCCCTTTAAAAGCCCTTCTGGAATTTATGGTGTCATGCATTTTAGATATAAATAAGCTTTCCATTGATGTATGGTTTGTTAAGATAGGACAATATTTGAAAATCTGGAATCCGAGGGTGCAAAAAAAATCTAAATATTGAGAAAATCACCTTTAAAGTTATCCAAATGAAGTTCTTAACAATATTACTAATCAGAAATTAAGTTTTGATATATTCACGCTAGGTAATGTAAAAAATATCTTCATGGAACATGATCTTTACTTAATATCTTAATGATTTTTGGCATAAAAGAAAAATCGATCATTTTCACCCATACAATGTATTGTGGGCTATTGCTACAAATATACCTGTGCAACATATGACTGGTTTTGTGGTCCAGGGTCACATATGGAACGTATGCTTTACATATCAGTCAGCTGGTCTCTTTCTTGTCAGTTCTTGGTCAGAACAAGCATCAAACCCATTCAGACTAGAGCGAAGATGAGTACAGGCGTCATATTTCTCTATGCCATTACGCCTGAATGAGAAAATAACTGTTTTGCTATTAAAAGCAAAAGAAAGAGAGGGAATAAGGTGAACATTTACACCATTTGATCTTCCCAGTTCACAAATCCACTAAAATCCAATGCTGAATAGTCCAGTTGCAGTCAGGTTTGTGCAACTCACTTAAATTAGCATGATGGCACTAACATGCCTAGAGTCGTGCCTCTGGACTGGGCTCTGAACAGATTCAAATAGGATTGAAAAAGACACAGATAACCAATTACAATATTTACAAATGTATTAGCTGCAGGGGAGAGAGATCCAGCCCGGGGCATGAGAGGAGAGACGCAAAAATAAACCAACTGTGACATGGGAGATCAGGCCAACGTTCAATCACTGAAGTTATCCACCCCTTAAGCTCCTCTATACGTTCACGCTCCAGCAAGCTCACAAAAATCACATCCTGTCATGTGACCTTTGACTCTGACGCTTATTTACTCAGAATTGTGGCTAAATAGTGAGTTTTAATTGCTTTTCATGCTCACTGGCGGCTCTGATTGGCTGCGGTAAGCCGCCTCTGATGCTTTATCAAGATCGGTGATAATGGTGCTGTTTACCCCGTGGCACTGAATTTAGCCTGAAACAGAATTATGCTTCCACTGCAGGTGTGTGTGCGAGTGATTTATTAAAGCACAGAGGAGTGTAGTAAGGTCAAACACTGTTTGCTCACTGCACATTTCCATTTGAATCAGCTGGGTGAGTTGCTCTGAAACACAAACCCCAGAGATCTGCCTGCCAGTTTACTGACCCATCACACGCACACACGCACACACAGAGACATACACGTGCACAGACAGACAGACTCTCACCTGACGATCTGCTCTGATACGGGTTTGTTCTGGAACTTTGGTGGCAGTTCTAGGATGGGCTTCACTGTGAAACACTGAATGTCTATTTGGACCAAACTAAGAAACAATAAAAGGGACAATCTGGAGAATTGAAGACAAACAAAAGTGATTTTTGTTGTTGTTGTTATTGGCATGTGCTGTGAGTGACACTGGAGGATACACTGTCCAGAGGAGCTCCTGATGTCCTCGCTGGGAGGGGTCGTGGTCTTCATCTTCTCAGCGTTGGGGAACTGAGTGAGCAGTCTGGCCTCAAAGTCCTCCCACCGCTCATACTCCTTCCCCCGACAGATGAACATCTTATTCTGAAAAACACCCGCAACAGACATTCTCATCTCCAGATCAAACTTTGCTTTTCTGATTTATTTTGACAACTTTTCTGTGCTCACAGCCCTAATCTATGAATAATATTTGCATGGTATGAATTTCAAAGCATCACATTTTCTAAAAAAAGCACAATTGAATTAGCACATCAGATTGAATAAACACACGGAAATATAACAAAAAGTAATAATCAAATACACAAAGGCCAGAGATGAGTACTAACACATCCAGATATGATTTAAAACAGCAGCATCTACATGGAAAAACAAGACAAAAAGAAAAAACATTTAAATAAGTTTTCTGGAGCATCTATCAGTGAAGCATATCTAACAAGAGCTTAACAATAAAGAAAAATGTGCATATTATTATAATGTATTAAACAGCCAACAGAACTATTATCAGAACTGGTGGTTCTCAGGGTCACAGACATTGTATTCTTTGCAATGCCAAATAATAAAATGCAACTAACCATGTAATCATGCATAGATCAGATAAATAGACTTTTGAATTTCTAAAAGAGTGGACAAAATGCTTCCCATAACTTTTGTTGTCAATGTCAAAGGCTGTGCGTCCAATCAAACTCTTCAGTGGTTTATTCTGTATCTTAATAGGAAATCTTAACAATTAAACTAAATTAAACAGAAACTAATTTGTGATATTGATGAAAGCCTGTTTTTAAAAAAAACGTACTTGACTAATTCACATGTTTTTTCTTGCAATTATGAGAAAATATATTAGGATTGCAATATATAAATCTCGTAATTCTGGGTTTATATCTTGCAATTCAAACTTTTTTTTTATTTGCAAGATATAAATGCAAAACTGCGATTCTGAGAAGAAAAGTCCAAATTGTGAGATATAAACTCGCAATTGCAAAAAAAGTAAGAATTGTGAAAAAAAATTGCAGTTAAGTTTTTTAGTTTTATATTGTGGTGGAAACAAACAAACAAAACGTAACTGCAAGATGTAAACTCAGAAGTTAGAGTTGCAAGACAGAAACTTGCAATTTTTTTCTTAGAATTGCACGTTTATATCTATGTAATGCAAATATTAATACAGTAGTAATTATAAATGTTTTTATTAAAACAGTAAAATCATGCATAAAACAGAAATATGTAATTACAATAATAAATACTTAATTGCAGCTGAGAACCACAAATCTAGATCATTCAGTCATCATCATCTATGAATCCAAGGATTTTATGAAAACAGTAAAATGACAGAAAACAGAAGCTCATCACTCAGAGAAGCTCATTCTGTATTTCTTAGTTTGAAAGTTAAATCTCAAAATATCCACGGCGGCTGTAATTCCGAGGCGTTTGGCAGTCTGGAAACACTCAATTATCGCACATTCCCATAAAGACACCGTCAATCATCAGCACCCACCTACAACACCGTCAATATGTTTCCATTCACAGCGTCTGTGCGAACAACTACACACAGACCGCTGTGTGCACACAAACACCCACATATGACAGCAACGGAATGGGATACTAAATTGCCAATATGCATGGAATTGAAGTGTTTATTGTTGAACAATGCATGATCACATTTAATATTTTGCAATAGGACAAAGCAGCGTGACAGTATTCGATATGAAAACGGAGATACACACACACACACACACACACACACACACACACACACTCCCTTGCATGCACGAACATATTTCAGCTGCTCAATTATCACACACACACACACACACACACACACACACACACTCCCTTGCATGCACGAACATATTTCAGCTGCTCAATTAGTGAAATGTGAACCGGAGGTGAAATATGCCCAGGGCCGTTTTCAAATCTGCTTTGAGCGATAAGGTGACAAATTGCATTGTGCTCTCGACGGGTGTTTTCACAGCCCCGGTGATTCCATGCACGGCGGAACAAACCGGCAGCGTTAGCACGACTCCGCACACATACAAAAGTGCCACTTTAAGGAGGGAGAGGAGATTGTGAGATGTTCTGTGTTTCAAAAGGAGAAGCTTCTCTCCACAGAGCAACATGTCAACACTAGCAGGAGGCGACTGGCCTTTAGATGCCGATTTATTTTTTTGTTCCCAGGATGGTTGGTGGGAGACGCGTGACTGCAGGCCGCTGGAAGAGAATTAACAGGATTCAGTGCCACAACCAGAGGCTTAAACACATGCATGATCTGTGGAAGGTGAATGATTCGGTTTCCTCGTGAACGACAGATTCTGGCAGGGAAATATATAGAAAAAAAAACTGAGAATGCAAACACTTGAGTCCACAGAATATTAATATCGCCCTGCCTTTTTTCTGTCTGACCTTCATACTTGATCAACGTTGCATTTTTACTGCATATAAGCTTTGATAGCACTTCATTTGCTTTACCAAATCAATGTATTGGTTTCACATATGAGAGAATTTAGATGAGTGTTTGTCAAGACCACATTTGAAAAGCCATGCGAACAACCTTAGAAACATCGGATTTGAGCTGCAAAGTGGAAGTGAAATAGATTTGGTAATAAAAGAACCTACAAATAAAAAAAACTAATTTTAAGAAGTTAATTGAATAGTATTAACTGAATTGAATACAAATAAATTCAGGAATTTAATAAATATTTAGTAAATATTGAGTTGGTTTTTGGTTATTTCAAATTTTTTTATATCAACCTTAAAACATGAGCAAAGTGGAACTGAAAAAGATTTGGTAATAAAACAAATAAATAATTGAATTGAATAGAATACAAATAATTACATTAATTTAATAAATATCGACATGGTTTTTGGTCATTTTATAAACATTAAAAACATTGGATTTGAGTGGTAAAGTGGAACTGAAATAGATTTGGTAATAAAATAAGCTAAAAATAAAATAATAATAATTGCAAAATAATACTAATTAATAATTGAACTGAAGAATATAATTGAATTAAATACAAATAAATTACTTAATTCAACAAATAATATTTAATAAATATTGAGATGGTTTTTGGTTATTTTATATATTTTTTAACAGCCTTGAAAACATTGGCTTTGAGCGGGCAAAGTGGAACTGAAATGGAAACTGGGAAGAAGCTAATAATAATACTAATGCTATCACTAATACGAATACAAATACTAACAATAGAACTGAAATTTAGAATTCATGATTATATTTTGAGACTGAAAGTCTGGGACAAAAAGGTGAAAAAGAATCATAATGATGAATGCATGGTAAAAATCGACCGACATACATCAAAAGGAAAATAAATCTGTTAGTTTGAATAAAAATCAACCCCGCACACACACACACACACACACACACACACACACACACACACACGTGCACAGACAGACAGACTCTCACCTGACGATCTGCTCTGATACGGGTTTGTTCTGGAACTTTGGTGGCAGTTCTAGGATGGGCTTCACTGTGAAACACTGAATGTCTATTTGGACCAAACTAAGAAACAATAAAAGGGACAATCTGGAGAATTGAAGACAAACAAAAGTGATTTTTGTTGTTGTTGTTATTGGCATGTGCTGTGAGTGACACTGGAGGATACACTGTCCAGAGGAGCTCCTGATGTCCTCGCTGGGAGGGGTCGTGGTCTTCATCTTCTCAGCGTTGGGGAACTGAGTGAGCAGTCTGGCCTCAAAGTCCTCCCACCGCTCATACTCCTTCCCCCGACAGATGAACATCTTATTCTGAAAAACACCCGCAACAGACATTCTCATCTCCAGATCAAACTTTGCTTTTCTGATTTATTTTGACAACTTTTCTGTGCTCACAGCCCTAATCTATGAATAATATTTGCATGGTATGAATTTCAAAGCATCACATTTTCTAAAAAAAGCACAATTGAATTAGCACATCAGATTGAATAAACACACGGAAATATAACAAAAAGTAATAATCAAATACACAAAGGCCAGAGATGAGTACTAACACATCCAGATATGATTTAAAACAGCAGCATCTACATGGAAAAACAAGACAAAAAGAAAAAACATTTAAATAAGTTTTCTGGAGCATCTATCAGTGAAGCATATCTAACAAGAGCTTAACAATAAAGAAAAATGTGCATATTATTATAATGTATTAAACAGCCAACAGAACTATTATCAGAACTGGTGGTTCTCAGGGTCACAGACATTGTATTCTTTGCAATGCCAAATAATAAAATGCAACTAACCATGTAATCATGCATAGATCAGATAAATAGACTTTTGAATTTCTAAAAGAGTGGACAAAATGCTTTCCATAACTTTTGTTGTCAATGTCAAAGGCTGTGCGTCCAATCAAACTCTTCAGTGGTTTATTCTGTATCTTAATAGGAAATCTTAACAATTAAACTAAATTAAACAGAAACTAATTTGTGATATTGATGAAAGCCTGTTTTTAAAAAAAACGTACTTGACTAATTCACATGTTTTTTCTTGCAATTATGAGAAAATATATTAGGATTGCAATATATAAATCTCGTAATTCTGGGTTTATATCTTGCAATTCAAACTTTTTTTTTATTTGCAAGATATAAATGCAAAACTGCGATTCTGAGAAGAAAAGTCCAAATTGTGAGATATAAACTCGCAATTGCAAAAAAAGTAAGAATTGTGAAAAAAAATTGCAGTTAAGTTTTTTAGTTTTATATTGTGGTGGAAACAAACAAACAAAACGTAACTGCAAGATGTAAACTCAGAAGTTAGAGTTGCAAGACAGAAACTTGCAATTTTTTTCTTAGAATTGCACGTTTATATCTATGTAATGCAAATATTAATACAGTAGTAATTATAAATGTTTTTATTAAAACAGTAAAATCATGCATAAAACAGAAATATGTAATTACAATAATAAATACTTAATTGCAGCTGAGAACCACAAATCTAGATCATTCAGTCATCATCATCTATGAATCCAAGGATTTTATGAAAACAGTAAAATGACAGAAAACAGAAGCTCATCACTCAGAGAAGCTCATTCTGTATTTCTTAGTTTGAAAGTTAAATCTCAAAATATCCACGGCGGCTGTAATTCCGAGGCGTTTGGCAGTCTGGAAACACTCAATTATCGCACATTCCCATAAAGACACCGTCAATCATCAGCACCCACCTACAACACCGTCAATATGTTTCCATTCACAGCGTCTGTGCGAACAACTACACACAGACCGCTGTGTGCACACAAACACCCACATATGACAGCAACGGAATGGGATACTAAATTGCCAATATGCATGGAATTGAAGTGTTTATTGTTGAACAATGCATGATCACATTTAATATTTTGCAATAGGACAAAGCAGCGTGACAGTATTCGATATGAAAAAACGGAGATACACACACACACACACACACACACACACACACACACTCCCTTGCATGCACGAACATATTTCAGCTGCTCAATTAGTGAAATGTGAACCGGAGGTGAAATATGCCCAGGGCCGTTTTCAAATCTGCTTTGAGCGATAAGGTGACAAATTGCATTGTGCTCTCGACGGGTGTTTTCACAGCCCCGGTGATTCCATGCACGGCGGAACAAACCGGCAGCGTTAGCACGACTCCGCACACATACAAAAGTGCCACTTTAAGGAGGGAGAGGAGATTGTGAGATGTTCTGTGTTTCAAAAGGAGAAGCTTCTCTCCACAGAGCAACATGTCAACACTAGCAGGAGGCGACTGGCCTTTAGATGCCGATTTATTTTTTTGTTCCCAGGATGTCTCGTGGGAGACGTGTGACTGCAGGCGGCTGGAAGAGTATTAGAAGAATTACAAATATATCTGAGGAGATTCCGAGCCACAACCACAGGCTTAAACACATGCATGATCTGTGGAAGGTGAATGATTCTGTTTCATCATGAATGACAGAGATTCTGGCAGAGGATATATAGAAATATACAGAGAATACAAACCATACACTCATACAACAGAGCATTCCTATTTTTTTGCTTTTTTACTGTCTGACCTTCATACTTGATCAACTTTCCATCTTTACTGCATGTAGCTTTGATAGCATTGTATTTGCTGTATAATACCATTGTTTTGGTTTCACATATGAGACTGTTTAGATGAGAGTCTGTCAAGAGCACGTTTAAAAAGTCATCTCAACTATACAAACATGGGATTTGAGCTGCAAAGTGGAACTGAAATAGATTTGGTAATAAAAGAATCTAGAAATGCAAAAACATTAATTTGATTTTATTGACTAATATAACTGACTCAAATAAAAATAAATTATGCATTTAATAAATATTTAGTAAATATTGAGATGGTTTTGGGTTATTTTAAAAACTCTTAACCTTAAAAACATCAGCAAAATGGAACTGAAATATATTGGTAAGAAAATCATCTAAAATTAAATCATAAGTAATAATAATAATTTAATAAATAATATTTAATAAATATTGAAATTATTTTTGGTCATTTCATAAACATTAAAAACATTGGGATTAGCATGACAAAATAGAATTGAAAAAGATTTGGTAATAAACTAAGCTAAAAATAAAAATAACAACAATAATTTAACTGAATAATAAAAAATACAAATAAATTAATTAATTCAACAAATAATATTTAATAAAAAATTTGATTTTTTTTTTATAAATATTGAGGTTTTTAGTTATTTTATATATTTTTTGACAACCTTAAAAACAATGGATTTGAGCAGCAAAGTGGAATTGAAAGATTTGGGAAGAAGCTGATGATGATGATGATGATGATAACAATAATAGAATATAAATAACTTAATGAACTTAAGTAAATATTTAATAAATATTGAGATGTTTTTGTTTATTTTATAATTTTTTTATATTATAGTTTAAAAATAGTTTAAAAATCCCATTTTATATTGTAAGATTAAAGTTCTATGTCTTTGAAAAAGAGAAGAAAAAGAATCAATACAAAAAAGGTGAAAAGTATAATGGTGAAGGCATGGTAAAAATTTACCTTCATATATCAAAAGGAAAAATAAATCTGTCAGTTTGAATCCAAATCAATCCCTGGAACATGAAATTGTCTGTATCTGAATGAAGGTTCCTGCAGTAATGAGTTTGGAGAAGCCACACAAAGACACCAGTAATTGATTTCCAGGCCTTTGGAAATATATCAGACGAATTCACAATGCAACGCATTTACAAAAAGACACAGAGATCTCCATGGTGACGGTGAAATATGAAAGATTCAGGATTATAAGAGAAATTCTCACCCGCAGGAACGAGGGGAAGCCCATTCCATAATAACCTACAGCAAAGTAGTCCGGCTTTGGTCTGATCACTTTCACGATGTTCTCATAAAACTGAGCCTGCTTCCTCTGAGAGACAAAGAGACACAGATCAATTACAAACACTCTTTAATGACATAAATACATTTTCCTGCTCAACAGTTGCTGATATGGTATTATGGATGGTTGCCAGGGCGTTGCTAGGTTGCATAATTAATATACTTAGCTTAATTAATTTGACAATTTACTAATATTACTATATAAAAATAATAATAAATAGGTTAAATAATAAAATAAAAATACAAATATAAATTTTTTTTATTTAAAAAAATAGAAATTAATTTCCTTTCTGTTTTATTTAAGATAAAAAACATATAATACAAATATTTTTTTATATAAAATATATAATATTTAAAACAATAAAATTACATACACATACCGGTTTGTGTGGAACTACATAAGACAGTTAAAAACATCCAAACAAGTAATAAAAACAGGTTGAGATCAACATGTGAAGGGTTACAATAACTTGTGTTCAGGACTCTGCAAAATGTGGCAACAGTTAATTTAAGATAAAACCAGACCACAATCGTTGTTTGTGTCTGAATGGATCAATTTGTCATTTGTTGCCAATTAGACAAAACTCCACTAATGAACAAAATGCAGAAACTCATCAAACCCCTCTGATCATTTAGATTAGGCCAATTTAGCGACTTTGGTGAACTTTAACAGTCTGAACGACTCATCAGTTGTTTGTTTCATTGTAAAACCTTGAGAGAGAAAGTTTGTACGTACCAGTAAAGCGCTCAGCTGCTCAAAGTCAAACATCTCGTTCTCATACTGTTCGGCTAACTCCTTCCCCAGGATAATAGCCTCCTCCCACATCTGAACACAAAGCACCAAAACACACATCAGACGTCATCAACACAAGGTGCTGTGATATCCTTCTAACCATCTGTGAACAATGCGCTTTGAGATGACTGTCAAACAAAAAGTGCTTTCTGAGATGTATGTTAAAGCGGATGCAAAAATTACCCAGCTGCACCACGCTGATCATGTTAAATATTTAAGAGATCATGAAAGGAATGTTCTGGGATTACCATAGAACATGATTCTGACCCATTCCTCTGTAAAAACAAACAGAAAATTTGCATGCACTGTAATGCACGTCTAATGGAAGACTGAAACCGAAGGCTGTAAAAGCTTTGTTTTGTACACAAAAAGTGAATTATTATATCAGGGATTGTGCAAGTTTCATGAAGGTGAATTTAAGACTTTTTAAGACCTTTAAGATAATTAAAGAAAATTTGAAGAATAAATGAAAGGGAATACAATACATCTATGTTCTCTTAATGTAGAGGTCTAAGGAGAACACAATGAGTTGAATTAGCAACACGTTTGAAAATACAACTTCCAACTGATCTCAATTACTTTTTAATTAATGTACAAATAAGTAGCTTAACTAGAAAAAAGAAATAACTTTTACTGTATATTTGTATACCTAATTGACAGATATTGACAGATAAAAACAAGACTTCATATCTTCAACTTGCAACTTAAGTGATTGTATCTTGAGTTAAGAATGTTTTCATATTTGTATTGGAAAACAAGACAAAAATACGGGGGGTTTTTTTCAATGCATGTAATATTTAATGCATAAATATATAATGCGGCATGTTATTTCTTTGGGTGGAGCAGGTGGCTTTAAGTGAGTCAATATCCATGACCTCATCTAAACAGTAATACGGATATTCCTCGGCTCTGACATTCTCTCATATCAGACTTATAACTTCAAATGCCAAGTGTAAATAAAACCTCCAGCTAGCATTACACTTCTGCTGCACAGGATTTGATATATAACTAATTCCTCAAATGAAACTTTGAGTGCATCCTGGCGGCACCGAGAGGGAGAGACTGTGATTATATATATCAATATCTGCAGTGCATTATTATTGAGAAAGCTGCCAGTAATAGTATCTGCAGTCTGTAGGAGACGATGTGGATTAGTTATTCAGACTAGAGGAAGAATAAAGCAAGTACGGTGCATAAAGCGAAACTTGCACTGCAATATTAGACCACATGTTCAGCATGAAAATGACTTTCCTCAATTTTCCTGTCGAGACTGCAGTGCACTAAAGGAATAGTTCACCTCAGAATGAAAACATGTGTCATTATTCACACAACCTCAAGACGTCTCAAACTGTACACTGTTGTGGAAAACCAAAGGAGAATATTTTAAAGCATCTCTTTCCATACAAAAGGCTTTCAAAAACACCAAATAAGACTATAAAACTATAAACCTAGCCCACATGACTTCATGTGCTTGAATTCAGTCTTCTGAAGCAAAACCCTTTTTATTTTTGTGAGAAACTGACTTAAATTTAAAGTAAGTTATGCATTGAGAAGATTCCATTCTTGCAAATATCAACAGAATTTAAGTTTGGTTTTACAATTAACAGAACCAAAGTCATGTTTGCATCAATTATGGCACGTTTCCTCAATTTTCCTGTCGAGACTGCAGTGCACTAAAGGAATAGTTCACCTCAGAATGAAAACATGTGTCATTATTCACACAACCTCAAGACGTCTCAAACTGTACACTGTTGTGGAAAACCAAAGGAGAATATTTTAAAGCATCTCTTTCCATACAAAAGGCTTTCAAAAACACCAAATAAGACTATAAAACTATAAACCTAGCCCACATGACTTCATGTGCTTGAATTCAGTCTTCTGAAGCAAAACCCTTTTTATTTTTGTGAGAAACTGACTTAAATTTAAAGTAAGTTATGCATTGAGAATATTCCATTCTTGCAAATATCAACAGAATTTAAGTTTGGTTTTACAATTAACAGAACCAAAGTCATGTTTGCATCAATTATGGCACTGACTTGTGCACAAAAATAGTCTGATATTAACCAAATTGTGGTCATGCTATACAGGAAACAACATTAAATATTAAAAGAGATGCCATAGCCTACATTTACAGTATAAAACCTAGATTTGCAAACAATCAATCTTTTATTACAACGCAGGGCACTGAAGGAAATGTTTCAGCATCTCAATAATTTTCCAGAGGAGTAGTAGTAATTTGCATGTATGAGTTTATTATTAATAAACACATATGCAAATTATAAAGGAATATTGAATTAGCTTTTCTGCATATAAATTTTTTTTTTTCAGAAACAGAAATCAGTTTATATATAAATATATGAAGAGTTTATTTGCAAAAACAGATTGCAAAAAATTTCAAAAATCATGTTATTATGTAATCATGTTTTATTGTGTTAGTTAGCTGTAATGTTTAGTTATTTTTTAACCTAATCAAAATAACCCAACTGCAGTTTGACTGAGATTAATTGGAATGCACAATGAAAAAAACATATATATATATATATATATATATATATATATGTGTGTGTGTATGTATATAAATAAATAAAAAAAGTATTTTAATTAATATGTTCTTATTTAATTTGCATTTATTAATTTACATCAAGTTAAACAACTAGCTGAAATTAAAAGTAATTTATATTTTATTTTATTTCAAGTAACCAAAACATTTTGGTAAGTTTTAGTTAAATATAATAACCCTAGATATAGTATTTTTGAATCTGTAAGGAAGGCTACAATACAAGCTTTGCTGGAGGCGAAGATGATCAGAAATATTTTTTAATGCTTTAAGGGAAAATACAGGGAAAGCAGGCAGGGAAAGAGTAGGAGCAGTTTATGTGACTGTGTCTTCCTGTCTCGGCTCTCAGGAGACGTTCAGCCGTGACATGTGGGTATGTCCCAGCAGTCTGAGTTTAAAATAGACTCTCTGAAAAGCTGGAATAATTCCCATAAAATGTGTCGAACAGAAGAACTACGGCCCAGAGCTGCTCCTCAGCTCGATTTCCAGGACTGACTGACTGTCACTTTCCTTCAAACACACACACTTTCCTGTTCAATTCTCTTGTGTTCTTTCTATTTGACACACTCAGTCAAGATTTGGAGCCGCTGAGCCCAGTAATGGGGTCCAGTCCAGGGCAGCAGATTCGCTAAGAGTCCCCTACTGAGAGACCTCTACACTGGGCGCAGATCTCCGCCTGGCCCCTATAACCCTCAAATCCCCCCCAGCTCCTCTGTCCAGCCTGTCAGACTAACAGAGATGTAGCCAATAATCTGCCTCTCTGTGGGTCACCTGTCCGTTACACAGACCGCTGCAGATTCACTCAGTACCGCAGCTGCAGGATGCATTTAAAGGCATGCAGGCCGTTTCTGACATGCAATCACATGCACAGAGACACAGAAAACCTGACAGTATATAATAGTTAATCTAGTCTTGTTCATTCTTATATATATATATATATACACACACACACACACATTTGATGGTATCCAAACTGCTGTTTTAGAACATGTACAATATAATATGCAATGCATAATGCATTATATATTTTTGTTTCAATAACTAATAATATAAAGATCCCACTAATTTCACAATTTTTACAAAATATTACATAATGTATGTGTATATATACATTTTTAGGTATATTTATATTATATTTTAAATATTTAAAAATATGTAAATCATATTATAAATATTTAAACATATTTAATATTATTTAAATTTAATGCTGCCATGCTAATAACGATTCTCATTTTTTTTTAAAAGAGAACATTTCTGCTTATACATACAAAATAAATTGTAATATTTAATAAATTGATACTGCCATCCTAATTGCTTTTTTATATAAAATAATTACATAGTTTTGTACATATAACTGAACAAAATATATTTTTAATATTATAATTTGATGCTGCCACCATAATAGTGATTCTGTGTTTATTTCATCTGTTGTATTTTACATCAAAATAATAATAATGAAAAATATTTTCTGGACAAATATATAATGTTTTTAGGACCCATTTTTGCATTGTGACGTTATTGTGATATTATATATACAGTATATATATATAATATACTATACTACATTTTAATAAAACGGTGATGATCACAATTAGGAGGTTGGCAGCATCACATTTATATTTTCACAAAACAAAACCAATATGAAGAAACATCCTAAATCATATGACTGCATCAGCAGCAATGATGAAATGCATTTAATTATATTATTATTTCACTGAAAAGAAAAAAAAAACTGAAGACACAATGACACGCAGGGACTTCAGGGAACATAAATGAGTGATGACTCAAATAAACCTCTGAATTGTTTTTGTTTTTAATCAATTCATAGAAATGAACCATCAGATCGATTCAGCTTTCCAAAATGAAAAACTTCCCAAAGGAACACAGAGTTGAGAGGACAATTAAGTAGAAGACATTTAATTACTGCAGCTCAGAAGGTCATTGTTAGTTGAAACATAAAACAGCTAAAAAGTTGCACTATTCTGAAAACAGATTCATTACTTATAGTAAGTTACAGGTCAACATGACTAAAGCAGACGTTGTGATAGTACCTTATTGTTAGTAGTCGTTACCTTGCCCTTGTCGAAGTAATTGATGATCTCCTGGTACAGCTGGTCTTTGAGTTGACACTGAGTGCTCGCTTGGTAGCCGTCTCTCTGCGTCAGGTGGGCGGCACAGGCCTCTTCAGACCACTGACAAAACAACAACACAATTACACTCCTCAAATACACTGCATTAACCCGCCAGTGACCCGATGAGAGTACTGTTGAGTTCACTATTAGATCTAATCAATATCTATACACAGAAAAATACAAACAGAAGTCCACATGAAACTTTAAAAGGGTCGTATAATTATATATTTTCCTTCATCTTTTGAAATAAAGTTCACTATATGATGAAAACCTAATGTAACTCAGAACTTCCCACGCAAGTGAGATGCAAGGCAGTAAAAACACCCATCGAAGTTACAATATGTGAATTCATTAATACAACCGCCCACATACAGTGGTGTGAAAAAGTGTTGGCCCCCTTCCTGAGTTCTTATTTTTATGCATGTTTGTCACACTTTGATGTTCCAGATCATCAAACAAATTTAAATATTAGTAAAAGATAATACAAGTAAACACAACATGCAGTACTAATATTTAAATTTGTTTGATGATCTGAAACATTAAAGTGTGACAAACATGCAAAAAATAAGAAATCAGGAAGGGGGCCAACACTTTTTTCACACCACTGTATATACATTAATGATGCCTGTTATGCATTCAGAAACCTGGTTTGTCCAGTCAAGGTGAGGTAATAAAGATAGTATTACTTCAAAACGAGATCCCTGATGATTTCAGTCTGATCTGAACCATTTGGGCGACACATTTCAGATCATTTTATGGAAAGCATCAAGGCAATGCGTATAAAAAGCCCATATTCAAAGCAACAGAGAAAGTGGTCATGGAAAAACGGACTGTTTTAGTGGAAAAAAACGTTATTATAAGCATTGTAAGTGGACCACAAGGAAAAAAAAACAAAATGCAAGAAACAAAAAATGATTCGACCCAACTGAACAATAAACGAAAATCTGCAATATGCAGGTGCACAAACACACACACACACACACAAAAAATCCTGAAGGAGAATGTCCGGCCATCTGTTCGTGACCTCAAGCTGAAGCGAACTTGGGTTCTGCAGCAGGACAATGATCCAAAACACACCAGCAAGTCCACCTCTGAATGTCTGAAGAAAAACAAAATGAAGACTTTGGAGTGGCCTAGTCAAAGTCCTGACCTGAATCCTATTGAGATGCTGTGGCATGACCTTAAAAAGGCGGTTCATGCTCGAAAACCCTCCAATGTGGCTGAATTACAACAATTCTGCAGAGATGAGTGGACCAAAATTCCTCCACAGCGCTGTAACAGACTCATTGCAAGTTATCGCAAGCGCTTGATTGCAGTTGTTGCTGCTAAGGGTGGCCCAACCAGTTATTAGGTTTAGGGGGCAAACACTTTTTCACACAGGGCCATGTAGTTTTGGATTTTGTTTTCCCTTAATAATAAAAACCTTGATTTAAAAACTGCATGTTGTGTTCACTTGTTATCTTTTACTAATATTTAAATTTGTTTGATGATCTGAAACATTAAAGTGTGACAAACATGCAAAAAATAAGAAATCAGGAAGGGGGCCAACACTTTTTTCACACCACTGTATATACATTAATGATGCCTGTTATGCATTCAGAAACCTGGTTTGTCCAGTCAAGGTGAGGTAATAAAGATAGTATTACTTCAAAACGAGATCCCTGATGATTTCAGTCTGATCTGAACCATTTGGGCGACACATTTCAGATCATTTTATGGAAAGCATCAAGGCAATGCGTATAAAAAGCCCATATTCAAAGCAACAGAGAAAGTGGTCATGGAAAAACGGACTGTTTTAGTGGAAAAAAACGTTATTATAAGCATTGTAAGTGGACCACAAGGAAAAAAAAACAAAATGCAAGAAACAAAAAATGATTCGACCCAACTGAACAATAAACGAAAATCTGCAATATGCAGGTGCACAAACACACACACACAAACACACACACACACACACACACACACACACACACACACACACAGAGCAGCGTGGTCACTTTCAGATCGCAGCTGCTGGTAATATTAATTTTGTTGTGCTGAGAATCTGAAAGGTTTTGGCTGTATTTCTGTGCCGGCGTCAAGAGCCCATCTGATAACGCTGATTTATGTGGCCACACTGTAATATTCATTACAGATGCTGCCTGATCCTGTAAACAAATGATTATTGGGAGAAGCTGTGCAGATTAAGAACTCTTGGTTTTTTGCTGACCGCTCAGTTCAAAGCCTCTGTGGAATAAAAACGTGCACACACAGGAAAACAAGCGATCTGATTGGCTGGAGCGGCTCAGCTGACTCCCCTGCGGGTCGCAGCTATTGGCTGTCACGTTGAGCTACTGTATTGTGCTAAAGGCTCTGTCAGGACTGATTCACTGTATTGTAAACGTAATTGACATTTCATGGAGCTTTGTGCAATAGCGGGGGTCAAACACCTCAGGAAAGTGCAACAACGTTGTGAGGAGCATCTTAAGGTTGTAATGCTTAATTAAGCCAAACATATCAGCCTTTTAACATATATTTTATAGTTTATTAACTTAGCTTGTGATAGCACAAAGCAGTTTACCAACACAGACTCATTATTTGTCTGAATGCATGTTTGAAGACTGACAAAATATATTTTGAATCACTGTAGGCACCCATAGAACAGGACTGATCTCACCAACTTCCAAGAGAGAAGATAATAAGATGCACAGGTTCAGGTTTTGGTGTTAACCCTGAACAAGCGTGTGCATGTGGGAGCGTCGCTCTTGTATGCAGGAGCAAACAGAATGAAGGCAGCTATTTATGAAAAGAAGCTGCGTGGGTTCGAGAGAACGTGGTGTTCCCTCGCTCACTGTGACAGCCGATTCCCTCATCGAATTACTCCTGTAAAGCCCTAAACGAATCAGAACACACGCTGAGCCCAAACGCAGATGTGATTAAACAGCAAGCCAATCTACATATTAATCCATTTGCTCAACTAACAGTTAATGTCACTTATCAAGACTAACTCCCAAGATTCACCAGAACAAATGTGCATTTCCTAAAGGACAGAGTAGCTAGCACTTGCAAAGTAACCTCATAATATAATGTTAATGTTTTAGGTGAGTTAGGTTTTAGGTCAGGTAAATGTGCAAATTAAATGGTGCATCAGAGCTTTGCGTTTGTCATGACATGCTTATTGTTTTCTATCTGCTGTGCACAAGAATCAATATAAGGCAGCTTTGAAAATGAAAATTTGATCGAAATTTACTCACCCTCAGGCCATCCAAGATGGAGAGTTTGTTTCCTCATCAGAACAGATTTGGAGAAATGTAGCATTCCATCACTTGCTCACCAAAAGGTCCTCTGCAGTGAATGGGTGCCGTCAGAATGAGAATGTTTATAGTCCAAAAAATATGTTGGTGGATTTTGATGAGAGAGGAAAACTGGGGATGGACATTATCACTGGAGGAAGTGTTAATATAGATTATGGATTCATATTTTAACTGGAAGCAATAGTTTATTGTTGAAAGGTCTTAAGGATTTGTTTCTTCAGCTTTTCATTTCACAAGATGTTAACTGATGGACTGGAGTGGTGCGGATTACTTGTGGATTATTGTGATGTTTTTATCAGCTGTTTGGACTCTCATTCTGACGGCACCCATTCACTGCAGAGGATCTTTTGGTGAGCAAGTGATGGAATGCTACATTTCTCCA